TCTTCAATTTAGAATACCGAAATTCTATTACTGAGTCATTTTTGTCGAGAAATTTCAAAAATTGCAATTTTTTCCATATAACGACTTTTTAAAATAGGGCGTTAAATGAGCAGCGGTCAATAAAGTGATCCGATCCGAATCATTTTTAAGAGCGTTCATTTTTGGGTCCGAAATCGTCAGTATATCAAATTTCATTAAAACACAAGAAAACAAGGCACAAGGCAGACAGACAGACAGACGGATAGACAAGCTTAGATTGATTCAGAAAGCGATTCTGAATTGATTGGCATAATAAAAGACGGGTCTATTTCATAATCTTCCTTATGTTGCATACATTTCTACAAACTTGAAATACCCTTGTACTGTAAGAGGCGTACGGTATAAAGAAAATATAAGAAAACCAACCACAAATTTGCATTACTTTCATCAATAGCTTATAGAAATTAAGCATAGGCTGCAGAAAGCGTAAAATTTGTTAAAAAAATATTTACGAAAAGCACGACTAAAATATTAGGCAAACATCATTTTCAAAAATCTATTGATCTCTTTACGTTGACGAAAAAAATAAACTTTTTTTGTATAAATACTTTAAGTAGAGAGTGCCCAGGAATCGCTCCAACGCATAAAGACACAGTGTCCGTAATTGTCACTGACTTGTACTTGGATGATTCTACGGGTTCGGATGCAGCCAACAAGCGCCATAAGAAGGAATATGTTTTTTTTATGTTTTTTTCTATACAGCGGAGAGTCCTAAATCGATTTAGGACATTGCCTGGTCGCTTAGAGTTGCAACTTTCGAAATCATAAAAATTACCATGAAAATTCTTGAGTACATTCTATGTTTAATTTCCTATATCAAGCCAAAAAAATCACTATGATTCGCCCCCGCAAACACGTTTACAATAATTAAGAAACTTGGGAAATTGAAAAACATTAGATATCAAAATAATGTATCAAGTTCAAGTTAAGACAGTCCATATAATTTTTTCATAAAAATTTAAATACATTTTCTACCCAGCCTACTGATTAGGAAGAATGTCATCAACCTTTCACTTGGCCTAATATTAGTCTTGACGTTATGAGATGCAATAGTTTTAATGGATGATGATAAATATCCGAGGGAAGGAAAATCTGTATGATAATACCATTTGAAGTTATTACTAGCAACTAGAGTGAAAGTCGACCAATTGCCGGACCGCAAAAAATTGTATATTGTATTATTAAATTTGCTATCGTATCGATTGATTAAGTACATATCTATAGACAATCTATAGCGATTATCATATGAAAATGTTGTGTAAATATTGTTAACAATCGTCAAAGAGGCCGGTATAAAATAGATTGTACGATCAGTAAACTGGGGCGTACACACAATGAACAAAATGTTTTTGTGCCGATGTGGTGGGTATTTAAGGTTCAGTCTAAGATACATACATAATTCGGGAAACTTATTTTAACGTTTCATGTTTTACTTTTATGAGATAAACATAATTGCTAATTAGTTATTGTTAAGCGATAAGAAATTTTTATACATTATTTCAATGAATGTCAATAATGAATTAAATTTATTTTAAAAGGCTTATTATTAGTGTTTGTATGTTTAATCATAGTAAATAAAAATTTCAGTAATTCTTGAAAATAATTATTAAAATAATATCTTTTGGTAGTTAATATATTTTAATATTAGAATTAGTATTTAATTGAAAAATTTACAATTACAATACAAAAATCACATACAAGAAAATTATCATTATTATCTATCTCATGATGGAGTTTCATCTTTATTTCTTACACATTAAGTACAAATACATATGCATATACATATAGATGTACATATATATATATATATATATATATATATACATAGATTGCTATTTATTTTATATATACGTATATTATATGTTTTTGAAGTGAACCCCTTCTTGCTTCCTCTCTTTCTATAAACTAATTCGACCTATTAAGTTTTAGGAGCGTAAACTGTGTAACGAATTCAATTTAATATTCTATAGACCATGGCGTATGAGTAATAATGATAATAATAATAATAATAATAATAATAATAATAGGCGTGCGTAGACATTATTCTTATTATGCAACTGCAATTGCAAATTTTTTTCTAGTTAATACCTATTAGTTTTCTTCGAAATGATGTTCATACGTTCCCATTTCAAGTCATACATAGACTGCAACTATAACACAATCGAAGGTAAAAAACAAGTAACTTCATCGCAATAAATGAGAAAATATACCTTAACATGTGCATATATATATATATTGTATATATATTATATATATATTGTATATATATATATATATATATATGTATTTATAGAATGTAGGTAATCACAGTCTATTGTCATTTTAAGAATAACATTTCATCACATCTTCTGTAAAGGAGAAAGTGATTATACTACATTTATATTCTCATTCCGAAATTTATCGTGATACTTGCATTAAAGCACTTTATACTCTTGATCAATGTAAAATGGTGTCTGCTATTGGCCCAATTATACCCACAACACAATTAAAGTAGGAAGAACAAATTTGGCTATTGAAGGTCATGGATGAAATTTGAGATCTGTCAAGATTCACCTACAATAGAGTTATACCTGTGTGTGCTTACAACCTATGGAATATAGTGTACCAGATCGATTTAAAAGTTCAATGCAAAAAATCATCAAAATTAGTCTACAATCATGCTCATAACAGCAAAAATACTATAACTTACAACCTATAGTCTATTTGTATGTATAGTGATCTAGAGATAACTACAAATGGTTATCCCCGTTAGCCTGTAAAAAATTCAATGTAAAAATGTTCATGATCACGCCCATAATAGGAAAAATAGGACTCAAACTTAGAATCGATAGTATGTTTGGAAATTAATTTAGATGATAATCTCATTTGCACAAAGCCATCTATGGATTTAGAATGAAAAAGATCTCGGGAAAAGGGCAATTACCATCCGCCCAGTTAATAAACAAAATATTGAATGATGAACGTGTATAAAAGATTCGAGACGAATATAATTTTCGATTTTTTTTTTATTTTTTTATTTTAATGTTAATGATAGGTGATGTTTATAATTTTATTAGTATTATTATTATTATTAAAATCTACAAAGTTTCACTTTTAAAGCGCTGTGATGGTGGCCACGCAAATACTTGGCGTTTCATTTATTTTTGTTCTTTTTTTTAATTGATGATCTATCGCACTGGCAGACAAATTAATTAGTTTAGTTAGGTGTCTGTCCGTCTTGTTTCGCTTTCTTCTTTCAACAAATGAAACTTATTACTTATTCTGCAGTTCTTTTGTTATTGCATTCTGAAATATGAATTTTTTAAATGCATTTTTATAAACATTTTTCAAAAAAATTCTTTTACAAGTATATTAAAAAAAAAATAAATAAATAAATAAACGAACAACTTCTTTTCTTTAATAAACTATACTGAGTTTACTCGTAGAAAAAAAAAATGCTTTTTTTCTCTCTCTTTTTTATTTTTTATAAGAAGTAGCTGCTGTTACTTGCGAGGTTACTTTGAAGAATATTCAAACTTTCAAAAACTTGAAAAGCAAACAAAGCAACGGTTTCAGCACATTACAACAACTGGACCATTAAATAATAAATACTAGCGTCAGCATTTTGATATTTCATGCACACACGTGAATGGATATACATCATAGGAAAAATTTTCAAAAAATATATTTGCGAATATTTTTCAATTTTGATAAAGAACTTTAAGTTCCAAAAACCTGCACTGAGTGCTCGACAAATTAATAATGAAGAATTTATGTTTTTTTCTGAATTTTAAAATTTTCGAGATTATTTTTTGCTCTTTTAAAATGTTCCAAATTAAAAGAGTTTCCTTTAAAATTTTCGAATGATCGAATATTAGATACATAAACATAAGGATTTTATGAAAGTTTTTTTAACTGCGTATGTAATATTGCGTCGTTTTATTATCTTCCTTTTCGCCTACTCGCGGTTTTACAAGAACTCGCCTGAAACTCGTGGTAATAAGGCCAACTTTCCATCTCACGCCTAATCACGTGGTTTTAAAGGACAAACAAAAAAAAATTTCGTTGTCTTTAATAAGACACTTTTAGGCGAGGATATAAAACTTTATGGGCATCCATCGTAGATTCTTGTTAAATGTGAATTACTTGGGTTAAAAGAAACTACGCAACCAATGAATCGTCTTTCAGGTTACGTGTGTGTGAATGGGCTAAATAACAATGACATCACCTATCGTGTAGAAAACTTTCGTCGAACTACATACAGTTTTTTTAGGAACTTACGTTCGCGTCGTCGTTTCTTTTGAAATTTTGTTCAAAGACTTCTTGGATAGGCTTCATTCTTTCACAGAGCACATTATAGTTTTTTTAAGGCTTTGCAGCTTGAATGTCTACTTACTTGAACTGAGTTGAGTGGAGTGCCTTAGTTCGATTGTTAGGAAAAGAAGAAAATTGTTCCCTTTAAAATCATTTTTCACTCTATGATATGCTTAGCGAACATACACAGAATCGTATCCAAAGTGAAACATGAAAGAAACATGTAAGGAAAAAAAGAAAGCTATAGTTTTGATACATTTCGCTTCTTTGTTTTCCTAAAATGGAAAATCGCATCGCAAATCCTGGCAAGACGATTGACGCTATATATCCTGTTTTTTAGATAAATGACTTGCAATATTGCGAAGTGAAGACGTTAATCTTTAATATTTTGAATCAACTTAAATGGAAAATTTTTAGTTGATTTCAATCGATTTTTAACGACAACAGCGATTAAGCGATTAAGTCTCAATATTGACTTATTGACCGATCTAACAAATAAAGAAATATTTTTTGCATTTGAACTGATTAGTTGATTTTCGTTACGAATCTAAGTTCTAGGCTATTTTAGTTGCATTTCCGTCTCGGCACATTAGTCTCGTTCAAGTTTTCAATTTTCTCTAACCAAGTGCTGTAAGAATTTTTTGAATCTTTTATAGGCTAGTTAAACAAAAAAAAACAAAAAAGAAAAAAAAAAGAAAAGAGGAACAATTTCCAAAGAATTGTCCAAAAATGATTTTCTCTCACAATTTCCTAATCTTGCAGAGCTTGAAAACATTTTTTTTGATCTAAGTACGTAATTACAACAAACCGACTTGAACCAATACTTGATAGTTTCACTTTTGTGTTAGTTTACTTATGAGAGTTTTGTTTTGTTTTGGCTTTTTTTTTCTTTTTCTGTTCTTTTGATTTATTTTACTATTATTCCTTGAAATCGAAAAGTAACGAGAAATTTATGCATTGGCAGTTGTCCTTTTTTGTTTTTGCTTTTGTTTCTTTGTTATACTTTTTGTGTAAACGATTTTCTATTATTTTCGGTTTTCTCTTCTTTTGTTTTTTTAAGCTCTGTATACTACAGATTCGATTTAAACTATATAACGATTAGATATTTAGCTACATATACAAATATAGTAAATGATTAGTTTAGTTAGGCAACAGTCTAATTACTTATATAGACGAGTCGGCTTACTAGGATTTGTTAATTATATAATACTTTATGCTTACAATAATACATAAATAATACAATTTTTAATTTGTGTTTTGTTTCTTTTTGCATTCTTTTCTAAATCTACCTCTTTGATTAAAGTAAATATTGTTGCTTAGCAAATGATGCATGTTTCAATCTATGGAACAAATTAGGAAAACGTTATGTATATTATGCTATGAGTTTATAGGTTGATTCCTTTATTATTTATATTTATGTCTGCTATGTGAACGAAGACAGCGAGGGAGAGTGAGATATATTTTTTCGCTATTTTTTTTTTTTTGGTTGTTTGTTGCATTTACTAATCCTGACTTTGTCGGTGTTGAGTACGGTGGTGTGTGGTATGTATTGATGATGTGGATGCTGATGATGCGGTAGTAACGGTGACGGTGTTTGTTGTCGATGCAGCTGCCAAAGAAGCCGCAGGAGCCACGCTTCAGCGTTTCACACCAAATAAGTTCGGTATAGATTTGACCTTTTTGCGCGAACAATTTAAAAAATCTTTATACGCTTCTGATCGTAAATATCGCGGATATGAATCCCTTTCCATAAGATGATAAATGTGAGCAGCTGCCACATCGAAACACCAACGATTCGGATTATTGCAATTAACCGCCTCACGTGCCAAATCAATCGATTTTGAATCGACATTAACAGCATACGGAGAGTCTGGCGCTAAGAACTGTTGCCATATATTATGAATGGCCTCCTTAATGGCTGACTGGGGCAATGCTTTCATTTCTTGTACCGCTTCCCAGAATCTTAAAAATCAAAATTTCATATATTAGAAAAACTATAAAGAATAAATAGTAATAACACGGAAAAATTCGTAATTTGTTTTATGATTTTTTTTCTTTTTTCATAGCCAGCAGTACTCTTCTTTTTACGTCTTGTACCACTTGTGGTACACGAGTATATTAAATTTTGTGCGGTGTATGCAATTAATAAAAGGAGTTGAGACGGACCCACCTTTTATGATATCAATTTATACGGAATCGCTTTCCAAATCTTGTCTGTCCATTTGTCAATCTTGGTGTTTTGTATTTACCCACCAGTGCGCAGATTTTGCGATATTTTGATGAGCATTGATATACTGGCAGGTTTTGTCCAAGGGACGAATGCTACTGAAAATAGCTTGGATCAGACTACTTTTTGGACCAATTCCCTTTTAAGGTCTTATTTTGAAGAGTTCGTATACAAACAACTTTAAGAAGATGTAGGATATTCAATGGTGGCGCATGGCGTCCTATAGTGTTTTCACTTGTTTTTAATTCGAAGATTAAACATTTCCAAAAATACTTCGGTACTACTATATTTAAAATTGTATGTACATACAGTTGCTGAACCATATCGAAATGCATAGAGATGATACGACCGAGCTTGTAAGCCAAAAATGAGCTACGCTACAGCCCGACTTCATTTTCATATTTCTGAGAGACACGCAGAACACACTTTCTTTGGAAAAGAGCCGAGTGTGTTGATGTTATGCACTAGTATCGAGTAATATGCGAATATCGAGATCGTAATAAAGGCAAAAGAATTAAATTTTCTATTCCTATTTAATTATGGTAGAATCTATAGAAGCATGCAGCTTACTCTAAACAGAAAGATATTTGAGATTTAGTTGTTTCTGCAAAATAAGTAATGAATGTTGGATCGTAATCGGGCCGAAAACATTTCTGTGAATTAGATATAAATATATGCATACACGCAAAACATATCTTCTGGTGGATATACAAAAAAAAAAAAAAAAAAAAAAAAATTTAGATCAACTTACAGTATATTTTCTACACTATATTCCTTCTCCAGAAATTTTGCGAATTGTTCACGTCCCACAGGATCTTTTAACAATTCACGCATACTAAAAGCCCAACGTTTCACGTTACGCAAGGGCACCTCTTTGCTAAATGATCATAGAAGTAGACGACGATATATGTGATCTTTAGTGAATATTTAAAATAAAAATACTATTTCTCTCTTATCTACCTATTCTTTTCGGCTTCCCACATTTCGGGGCTGTCGGTTTGCCAAGGATTTGGCAATTCTGGCGATGTCAAAAAGTAATCAAATTCATTGTACTGCTCGTAATAGGATACCAGGCTGTAAAGATTTCAATTTTCTTTTATATATTTATTCAATTATCACATTTATATAAAGACTTACGCTTCTGCTGCTTTACTGACTTTAATCGTACGTCGTTCTAGTTTTTGTTTACGCAAAGCTATAATGCGAGTCAATTGTTCTACGGGATTTTTGGCTACTGAGGCTCCGGCTGAGCCGGTACCGTGGCTTGAGCATCCTCTACGATAAGCCTTCTTAATATCAATCTCTGTAGTATTAACACAACCGGGCATAGGACGATGAACATCCCAGAAAGCTCGTTCTTGCGAATCTAGGACTTTACGTTCCAATTTATCACGTTTCTTAGCCACTTTACTTTGCGATTCAGCCTGAAAATTTTTTTTAAACTATTCATTTTCAAAGATCACCTCTTGCCTACTCTTGTTATCTTACTTGCATGAAAATAAATTCCCATTTTCGCGAAAACATTTTCTGTAGTTTTGCTAAGTTCTCTGCTTCATAATCAGCCAGCTCGAGACGTGTTTTATTTTGCATGGTACGTTTGCACAAATACACTGCATAGTCGGTGTTCTCCGGTTCCCAGCAGTTTGATGGCCAGAAGTATGGTGTTTGAAATCTAAATAAAGTGATAGATTTTACTTTTATTCGATTCTCTTTTTTTTCCTTCGTCTCTGCGATTGTCGTCTTGGCTAAGGCTTTCATATTTTCGATGGACAACTAAAAGCATGCTTTGAAAATGTTGCTTACCTGTAAAAAGTGCCATCGTTTTTCACAGTCAAGGCATGATCGTCAATGGGAAAGATATAACCGTGAGATGATAGCAAATGGGCAAAATGTAAAGCTTCGGTAACATCTTCAACATCGAGATTTTTTAAAGTCCAGGCAATTAAGTCCGCTCCCGTAAACACCGAAGGAACTTTGGTCATAAAACCTTTAACGGTGCGTACAGCTACACCGGTACTTTCAGCTTGCATTCGCTCAATAATCGCCTCCATCTTTAGAAGAAAAATGAAAAAAATGACGACAGTTCAAGACGTGTAAAATAAATGAGTTTACCTTCTTATATACCAATATATTAGGCGCGTCTTCGTTTTTATTGTGATGGTTAGTGGGCGGTGATGTAAAATGCGAATGTCTGGGCGCTTTCTGATGACAGCAGGATTTTGTATCCGCACTGGCTTGCAGTGATGTGGTTGCTCTAATTGGGCCTATCGAATTTTGAGTGCTGTTTGCTGCGTTTATATTATTGGTGTTTACACTATTATTAGAGGTGGTGCTAGTGGTGGTAGATGTTGTCATTTGCAAGTTACAACTAATTTCAGCAGTTATTACAGTTTTTGTGGTCACATTTGGATTTAATTCAGTTTTTAATTCGATGGTCTCTGTGGAACTGTCACCCGCACTGGTCATCTTCTCTTGCTCCTTATCTTCTCCTTCGACTTTTAGAAACTCTTTAAGACCATTTGTATTAATAATAATGTTATCAGTATCGACTGATGTTATTGCCTCTTCTAATGGCATAATTGTATCGGAAGGATTATTGGTGGTTGAATGGTTGTGCTGGTGTTGGTGGGTAGGACTTGTTGACAATTTAATGGCCATTGTTATGGTGGTTTGTGTTTTGTCGACTTCTGAAGTCATCGTTACCATCGTTTCTTGTATCAAGTTATTGATTGTTTATATAACTTTTCTTTTTCCCTAATTAGATAGACCAGTCAGAACGGCCAATGAAGCGAACCGACCAGTCAGTTAGTCAATCAGCTATGGTAATTTCCCTTATCTGCCTGATTGGCAGGAATTGTGTTGTGCTTGTGTATTTGCAATATTACTTATTGATTATAATTTAATTTCCGGTGCGGTATCTAAAATGATTTACGTCGTCTAATGGTTACCTTCAACTAATGTAACGTTCTATCAATAACGTATGAAGTTTACGTTGCTTTCATAAACGTACATACACACACCGTTATTGTTTTTTCTTTTGAACTCTCATATGATTATGTTACTAGAGGACAGACAACCTTTACTTTTCCTTGTAATTCAGTTGATTTTCAGTTTTTTTTTCTCCTTCCATTAAAGGCCGACGTTAACAAATTTTTTATTATCTATTATTGCAGGAAAGCCTCTTGTCTTCCTGGTTGTTAATTTGTGACAATAGACTTGCTCTGTGCTTTTAGGGAATATTCGGAAACTTTATTGCCGTTGATTTTCAATTTTCTTATTCTCATGTGGTTTTTTTATATAAAACATGTACACACCCATCTACCAGGCTGACCTATGAATAAGAGATAACTATTGCTTATGCTTGAGTTATTCTTTAATCCTTGCATTCTGAGTATTTTGAAATTTTACTTTTCTGTATTATTAATTTCTTCTTTTTTTTTTTTGTTGTAATTTTGATGTTTTTGTATTTCGGATGCCTCTTTTACTTTTTGCAAGTGCACACTGCGAGTCCCATTGAAATACTGAGGTCCTGTTTTGCTCGTTTTATCGCTAATTTTTGTATTGTTATCGTTATTTAAACGTGTTACCTTTCGCTTTTATATTACTTTTATCGATTTCTGATTACTTTCCGTTCAGTTGTTTTCAATAAAATGAATGAGCATGCCAGCAATCATAAAAGAGAATAAGCTTTAATACTTGTTATCCCTGCTTATTTGTTTCATAAATTTTGCGGTTATTATTTTCACGCAGCGTTTTTAAGAGCACCGACTGCTACTCTACTCTCGAAAAATACAAGTAAAAACACAATAATCTGAAATCATTGACAGTTGCTTGAGATTTGGTGATAGAAAATTCATTTCTCGTCGTGCTTGCCGTAAGAGAATTTATGCCTTTGTTAACACAAACCTTTTACCGTTAGATTTATTTATTTGCTACTTTGCAGAGTTGCCATTCAATTCGATTAAATAGGATTAGAAGATGCGCTTTTCAAATGAGGCAAACGGAGTTTCGCCATTCTCATTGAGAACAATTGCCTTTAACATTTCTCTTCTCTAAAAGTTGTTCTAAAATGAAACGACTTATTACGGGTTTTTTTTTTTTTATTATTATTTTAACAGTGATTTCAATTGATTAATGAGAATGTTGTTCGCTTTATTAAAATGTGCAATTATGTTTGCGCTATAATAATATTAAATCATATAATTTTAATGGTCAATATCCTTATCATCTATGTCATTAGTTTTGACGTAATAAAAAATTTAAAATCATGGGACGAACGATGTCGAACTAAAACTTGAAATATCATTTCATATCGGAGTACCGAAGATTTTTTTATTCCATTCTACACGACATAGTGGGCTGCATAGTGCTCTAAGTGAGACATGGGGACTTTTACTGGAGGACTGGTCAATTTTTGTGCGACTTGTTAAGTTTATTGTATTTTATCATTTTGCAGAAAGGTTGTGGAGTAACTTACAACTTTCACAATATTTGCATATTAGTGAAATTATGGCCCATTGTTGAAATTCGTTCTTAAGTAGTAGTTAAATTATTTGCTTTTCTTCCGTACGTATTTTGTTAGCTGTGAATTGGAATATTATTATCGAGTTTTTTCACTTACTGTGATTGATTGATTGTTATATCTCTTGCCAATGGTTTCCTTATTTCATTTTTTTTTCTAAATTTGTTTTGTCAATTAATAGTCAACTGAAGAAGCAGTTGTATTGAATTTATCAATTAGAAAACAGTTAAATGCCATGAAATAGATATGATATTAATTGAAAGTTAATTTTATATAATATTCGATCTAACGTTCTTTTTAAAACAACCTCAAAAGGTGCAAGAACAGCGTACAATTTTTATGCAACACGGGCACGTGTATGGAGATATTTTTATCCGTAACATAACATGTTCCTATACGAAATAATACAAAAAAAAAAAAAAAAAAAACAATTATTACATAAACAACCGTAACAAATGCATTTTTAATTTATGAATTTTCTCAAACGTACTTACACCGCAAAAACTCCCATGAGTAATCTTTAAATAAAATTACAAGTTCTAAAATGAGGAGGTGACTGATTAAATTATCTAACTGTTAGCGGCAATGGTGCGATGCACTAAAAGAGGTTTTAGTACTTTACAGCGAAGATGGGCGTGTCTGTTGCATGATTGGTACTTTTTTATACACTGATTTCATAGATATCTCTAGGAAATTTTTATAACAACTTTTTTTCAAACAGCTCTTCCAAGTCGTCAATTGATCTCGTTTGTTTATCATGGGTATGCTCGAATGCGAATCACGACCAGTCTTACTTTTAAGATTTTAAATAGTTTGTTGAATATTTCCTCCAAACTATTGCGGGCATTGTTATAAAAGATGACAGCTGCGAATAAGAATATGGCAAGTTCCAGTTTTCTACCTCAATTCCTTTTTATAATGCATGCAAACTGAAAGAGATTTCATTGACAAGAAGGGAATTTCCGTAATTCGCCTGAATTCTCAAGCATCCAATTACGATTATAGAAAAAATATCAAATGAATTCAAAGCTAAATTTAACTCAACTTTAGTGAAATGAAATTGAAATCCACGTATTCATTACAATTTCCTAAATTGAAATATTCGTAAAGTGAATCATCATAATACTAGCTCGGTAATATCGACGTATGTTGTAGCTATCATAGGCATATGTTACAAGTTTTCTCTCTTTCTCTCTTTTGTTTTACCGTTTTATGCTGACAAGCATAAACAACTAAATGAAAAGATCGTCTAACATTTTTTTCAAAATAAAAGCTGAGATGTTTTTGCTTGCATCTTTTATCAGTAACGCTGTTAATTAGCAGCAATGTGACTGAGGGCTCTTTCATTCTCATTGCTTTTGTGTATATGTAGGTACAATTATTATTATTAATTATCATTAATTTCGCCGGATAATAAATTGTAAGACCAGACCATCACGCCTGAGTGCGCGAAGGCAAGGAATCTCGACTAGCAGTTCAATGGTCGTGGGTTCGAATCCCAAGCGCGGTAGAGTGTTTAATAAAAGCCGATAGCCTTAGAATATGCTAGTGCTTTAAAAGTTTTAGCATTTATTTTCCTGGCGAAACTAATAGTAATAATTATAGTAATAATAAATTGTAAGACTACTGAACTCTTTTACTGAAAACTATACCGCAGTTGAGATTCCAACCCAACACTATTGAGTTTCAAATCGAGATTCATAGGAATAATTTATCTTTATATGATTTATTTATTTTTTGATTTAATTTGCTTGCATACACATTTGACATATTTTTGCACGTTTTCATTTTGCACTACGTCATATATGAGTTACATGTATTGTAAAATATATTGTAAAATATTCTTGAATATTATACAATAGTCTTCACATTTCTCGATAACATCTGGATTTTCATTGATAAAATTCAGAATTCTTTAATGTGAAATAAATGGTGAAAAAAAAAATACATTTGCTACATACGTACTTGCTGTTTGCTTTTTTGTACATACACATTGACATTAACATATATATTACCATATATCATAGCGCATATTCACGTGAAAACATGCAACCATTTGATAGTACGTGACGTCATATCACGAGACTACTAACAGAATCTTTGCCCTCACACAAATAATTAGGAGGAAAGAGCAAGCAGTCAAATGGTTGTTAATTAACAGCGTTACTAAGGTCACTGGTAGGAAAAACACAATATGTCCGCTATAATTTCATAGCTTGACAACAAAATGTTGGACCATCTTGTCATTTAGTTGTCTCTGATACAACTTTAAGTAACTGACACGCGACAGGTTTGTTCGTCATTGTAACGCACAGAAGTCGCCTGAATTATTTTTTACGAAAGCTTGGGGGGGTAATCATGCAGCTGAAGCACTTTCGTATTCAGCGTAAGCGAAAGTTCTTCGACAGTTTGTGCTGGGTTTTTGGCCAATAAGTCTTTCAATTCATGGCCCTTGAATTCTTTTAGTCCTCCAAGCCATTTTTTTGTCGTTGATATAAAAATCTCTACTTTTAAACCCTTGAAACCAAAACCCATAATTGGGATATGATGGAGCAGCATTATCATAAACTTCCGAATAGGTTTCGGCAACAGATATCTTCAAATCAAACCACAATAAAAATAAATGTCGAAAAAGCAATTTTGGAAAATGAGTATGAAAATAAAAAGAAGATAAGTGAATAAAGATATTTTTATTATTTTTTTTCTTTTTTGTAATAATTTATTATAATAACTTTTTCTTAACAAAACATTTATTTTATTTATTAAATAAAATAAATTAAGAATTAATGATTTTAATGTTACACTCTATGATGTATTTTCCGTTAATGAATATTAAAAGACTTCTTTACTTTATATAATTGTTAATAATATTTCATCTATCGATTAATGGCTCTTTTTCATGTTTTAAAGGTACAATTAATAATTAATGTTGCACTTGTTTTATTTATTTATTTAATTTAATATAACATAAAAAAAAAAAAAAATAATAATAAAATAAAATGAACAGCATTTCCTACGAATTTACGTAGAAATTTCTTATTCAAGCATTGCTTAAAGTTTCTAAGGCTTCTTAGAAATAGACTATCAACATACATGAAATGAGGGGAAAAAAATATTTAATTGAAGTTTAAAAAAGATTTAGTTTAAAGGCGTGAGAACATACTATATGCGAAATCATAGAAAAAAGTGAAAATTAAAATTAATCATTATACAGAATAGAAGTTCTAGTTAAAAAAAGGTAAAAACTAAAACCACGACTGGTTAATCAATTTATTCTTTATTTTTTATATACAGCATTTCTCGACACAATAACTAATTATTACATATATGTCATCGTAGGTTCACATATGCCTTATATGTGTCTTATCATTATATACAATACTAACTGGGACTGTGTGTGTCAAAAGGCATTTGAAACTCAACGAGAACTTCAGCTTTCAAATCTATTTACTATAATTACTATAATTTTAAAATCGGATACCGACATTTCGAAAGGAGATACATTTGACAACGCTGTGCAATTCGATAAAATGCTTCATATAATCTTAAGCGATTAATAAAAATGAATTTTACGATTAATTTAACATATAACGTTGCAAGCATCTGTAAAGCGAGAAAGAGAGATTCATAAAATGATAAAGTAAAAATGTATTATCTTGCTAAAATGCTCTCAACAATTTTCAACTTACGAAAATTATGTGCATATTTGTGCGAGGGCAATGCTGCTCGTTATTTGTTTTTGTTTATGACTAAATTGGAGTAAGCACACTGATGCCTACTTTCAGGAATGTTGTATTGAAAGAGAGTAGGAAAGAGAAAAAGAAATTGTTAGAGAAGAGAGCATGTGTGAAAAGAGAAAAATGCTATTTATTTTAAGCCGTTAAAGAAAAAAATTTGTTGCTAATAATATGGATACTTTAAAAGTTTTGAATGCATTTTTAAATATCATCTTCGACTTTAAATGACTGAATGATTCCTAATACACAAATCTTTGCATTATTTGCCAAAATTACCATTAGAATTACCGTTGTTGTCGCTGTTGTTGTTTTGATTGTTTAAATTTTGATTGTGATTGTTATTATCATTGCTCTTGTTCGCCTTACTGTTGCTGTTGTTGTTATTGTGGTTATTATTATCACTATTACTATTATTATTATTATTATTATTATTGCTATTGGCACGACGATATTTGGGTGTTAAATAGTAAACATCACTATTTGCGTTAGCTGGAATGGATGGAAGGTTTGGCGGCTGCAAACGATAATTCGTAGGTCGAAATATTTGCTTCGCTTGATTTCTCACCACCTGCGGATGTGATATGTATTCGCTGTCAGGATTTATGGGTGGTAGCGGTTGTCGATAATTCACTAGTATATCGCGATGTAATGGTACCTGTTGAGGTTGTTGTTGTGGCAACAATGCTGATGGTGGTGCAGACTGTAATTGATAGTGTCTGGGCGGTAGTCGATGTTGTTGTTGCGAAGTAAAATACTGGGATTGATGTGAAAAGGCAGGAGCTGGTATTGAAGGCAATCTTTGCCCTTGGTATGGTAAATTACCCTGATAGGGGTTAATAAATTCCGCATCTGGATTAACGGGTGGTCTGTTCGATGCGTAGTTAACATATGTATCATTTTCTAAGCTCCAAACGGGTCCGTGGGTTTGTGCTATTGGTTGTTGTCCTCTAAAACCAACAAATTTTCGATTGGGTATTTGGTGGAAAGGCTCTTCATAGAATCTATTATTTTGACGAACTGATTGTTGTTGCTGCTGCTGTTGGCTATTAGAATTATAATAATAACCGGGAAAGTCCCTAGTTCTTGTATTTAAAAATGGTACAGGTACTTGTAATGCATCTGGCTGTCGTTCGTTCGGCGCTTGGAAATCGTGATCCGTGTATTCGTGAAGTTCTTGTTTATTGACAGCAACCCAAATGGGTTGCCGAAGCTCATTTCCATATTCTACGTTCGTATGTTGTTGATAATTAGCCGCAGCAGGTTGCTGCAAATACTTAGCTCTTAGTCTTAGTTTCTTAGTTCGGCTTTGCGGTGGCCCAGGTAACAGTGTCGTGGATGGATACTTAGATTCGATGTTTCTTTGTGAATCAGTTTTTTCTGCTCTTAAAGCTTGGAAAGCATTGTCATCATTTGATTGAGGGCTATAAGTTACCATTGGCTTAAACGGTTCATCATCAAACGCTGACGGTGGTTGAAACTTATTTCGACCATTAATTTGCCCAGATTTAGATCCATCAAAATTATAATCAAATACCGCTTTTGCTTTAGGTGTTCTAGGTATGCTATTATCGCGTAATTCTTGACTTTGATAGAAACGTAAAGCGTCCCGCAATGTGTCAACTTCTTGCTCAAAGTTCGTTAGAGGCCGCACTCTATAAAAAGGTCTCATATTGTAGCGTACGTCTGGTTTCGGCGTAATAACAACTACATTCTCTTCCAAGTGATCATAAGGGCGATTGGATGTTACAGTTTGCTGATAATTACGGTGATGATTTAATTGCTTGTAGGGCCTTTTTTGGGTCGCGTATAATTTCACAGGATTTCTAAACGATGAAGGTTTCGAAGTGGTTGAAATAAAATCTTCAATAACATTAGATACCGTAGGTTGACGTTTTGCTTCGAAATACTCATAATATATTGGATTTCCTTTGGAAACGGTGTCAACATCATTTGTTTCAGGCGTTGTCGGCACAAAAGTAACGATAGGACGAGACGTTGGTTCATAATTAACAGGGTAGATAGGTATAGGGACGGCTACAGGCACTGGTACAGGTTCAACGAGTTGAGGTGAGGGCGTAGATGGTGGTGTAGATGGTAAACGACTTGATGACAGACTATTGTATATGTTTGGCTTGGGTCTTGGACTAACGATATTAATAGTTTTAGGTGTGTACTCCGAAATTTTAGTAATAGCGTGTCTAAATGGTACTTGCGAAGGTTCCGGTGCAGTAGTTGTAGTTGTGGAAGTGGTGCTTGTTGTACTTAACGATGTAACACCATGCACTCTGTATCGATACGTCGGAGGGGATGAAGTAGTTGTGTAAGTTTTACGCTCCTTGGTGGCTTTGTCAAGGCGGCTAAAATGGTTGGGAGGTGGTGGCACCACTATACCTGGTACAAGAGGGCCTGGAAGTACGGGATTCGTGTAATTGCTTTTATATACAAAGCTGTAGGCTGGTGGATAATAAAGCGACGGGTCGTCCTCATCAAAATCTTCGGTATTGTTGATATTATCTAAAGAACCATTGCGTCCAAAAAGAAAGGGACCCAAATAAGGAAAACTCACTGGGCGAGGCCTGTTTAGTGACGGATTGACAAATGTTTGGTTGTGATAGAGCCACGGCGGCGGGTCGTCGGGTAGTTGTACGAAGGCTCGTTTTCTTTAGCATCTTCAAACGTTCCCGGCCGGGCAATAAAATTTTTCTCGTCGTCACTGTCACTTTCGGACACCTTGTTGTAGGTTTCCTTGCCGACGGAATAAATGGATAACGATTCGTTAGCGATCGGATAGACGACCGTGAGTTTATTATTTCCGATAAGCTGTACGGGGCCGTTCTCTTCGAGTTGGACAGGAAATGGTGGCGGAATTTTGGGATTAGCTGCTATCTTTATTTGCCGTCCAGGTGCTACGTAATCATCTATCGGTGGCCAAGGTTCCTCCGGATTATCTTCGTTTAAGCTGCCTCCTTTAATAACTAATAAGTGATCTTCTGCCAGCCATATGTCTTCTTCATTTAAACCGCCAAAATTTCGTTCGTTATCATGGGGTACCTCTTTATTTGGCAAATAGCTTAACACACCAGGTCTCTTTGGGGGCTTTCGGAACAATTCCTTTTCAATCAATCCATATTTACCGTCCCTAACTTGGTCGGCTAAGGTTTTCTTCGAATCTTCCTTTGATTTTTTAGATTTACCTGCATGTTCTTTGCCAGATCCAGCACTTAGACGTAAGATGCCGTGATCCCAATTATCAAAATCTTCAGAATCGTTAAGCAGCGCCTCATCATAATCGCGGTCATCGTATGCGGAATGTTTTATAGTGTTTTGTGAAATTACGGGTTTCTTTGTTGTTGTCGTAATAGTAGCCGCAGTTGTTCCTAGATTAACAGCTGCCTTTGGTTGTTGTTGTTGTTGTTGCTGCTTGTGAGTATAAACGTTAACCATTGGTCGTCGTCGAAAAGTTGCCGCAGAGGGTTTCGACTCTGTTGTTGCTGTTGTAGTTTTACTTGTAGTACTATTTGTAGTTATGGCCGATATTTCATACGACGAACGTCCCTGGGAGTTTTGTATATGACCAGCAACTAAGCGTTGAATCATGCGAGGCCTAAAAAGGAAAAAAATTTAAACTAAAAGGATAGGAAATGTCGTTGAGAGCAAAAGTTTAATAAGCAAAGTTAAATGTGGTTAGTATTTTAATTTTGAAGAACAACGCGACGCTATAGACTGTTGCAATCCAAGGATGCGAAATTGGGTGAAAGAATAGATGTATGCATTTTTTATGACCTGATCTCGTGATGGTTTCACAACAAGCCACGTTTCCGACACGCTGGCCAATATGCGTGGCACGCGGCCATCTTTTAATATATATTAAATAATAATCCGTTTTATGCTTAACATTACATTACACGGAAAGAAAAAATTAGAAGCTCACGTTTTTTGGATTTGCTGATTATGCTCAATCTTCATTGGTTTCGTTGTTGTCATATCGCTTGCTTTATATATTGCTGGTAAAAAGGTATTCTTCGTCTGTCGATGACTGTTCGAGGGGTTAACTACAGTTGAATTTGTTATGATGCTGTCGTCCGTTATTGCTAGTGGTTGTTGGCGTAGTTGATGACGTCGTTCATTGGTTTTATGTTTACGTGATGCAGACATGAATCCATCGTTAGTATTGCTTGTTGAAGCAGATGATATTGCACTTTGAAAGCTACGATTTTGCCGCAAATTTCGTGTTTTAGCATTGGCTTGTGTTGTGGTATCTGCACGCCTCACTAGCCTTGTAGATGCTAATGTGGTTGCTTCCGCTAAAATAGGTTTTCTCATAGTGGTGGAGGTATTTGCTCGTTGACGTTGCCTGCTGGCTGTTACCAGTGTTGGTGAACTTGTGCTAGCAGCTGAGGACGATGGAATTGTATGACGTCGCACTTGCAATTTCGGTGCTTTCAATGATGGTGCTGCTGTTGTGGTAGTATGCGATGGTGTGGTTCTTTTATGTACTGTGGCCGAGGGTGTTGCTAGCAATGACGTTGAATATGATGAGTTTGCTACCAAAAGTAGCGGTATAGAAATTGCAAACAAGTTGAAGGTTAACGACTTCATCTTAATATTAGAAAGAAAATGAGAAGAAAAATAAAAGCAAACGAATTAATAAACAACAGATTAACATAGATTAGGATAGCTTTCAATATTTAAATTGAAGTAAATCTTTAATATGATATATGGAATGGCACGCTCTCCACCTTCCCCCATGTTTTCATTAAAATTTGAATCTATCGAGAGTTGTTTTCATGCAATTTTATCATATCGGCTTCATTGAATATACATAACAATTTGTTGGTTAATGTGTTGAAAACAGTTTATGATAATTAGTTTGCAACGATGCGCTGTAATGTTAAATACTTCGTGTACGGAATCGCTAACATTTATTACGCTAAACATGATTTTAAGTCAAATCTGTTGCTGTTAAATAAAGATGCAGAGCGCGTGCTCTTAAGTGATTTTCTGTCAATGTTTTCATTATTGTGTCTGGTCATTAAATCTCTATATATATATATATATAAGTTTAAAGAGTATAGTTTTGTGTTTTGAAAGTAAAATTTAAAGCATGTCATGTCAGAGATATTCCAGATTATTTTATGAAAAAACGAAATTTAAGAGTAAACTATAATTGCAATAGTTTTTGTTAAACTCAAATTTACTTTTTTAAGTTCTTTTGTTGTAGTTTTATCTTAGATTAAAGGAAAAAAAAAGCGGTTGCGTAATTTTCTAAGCAAACATGTGTAATTTATAGTTACTATAAAGGCACGTCGTACGTGGCACGTCATTCAGTGTGCAATAAGGGTAATAGGGGTAAATAGACTGACATTGTTGAAATACCCCAATATTTAATGTAACTAATTAAGCCAACTCGATTATGTCCGCTCAACTGTATCTTACCTATTTTCTAATATCTGTCCGTCCATCCGATGATATTTTTGTGCAACCACTTGCCCAAAAGTCACGTTTACTCGCTCTTTTATTAATTCATTTTTGTGTCACTGCGTATGTCCGGTTGGTTTTGTATATGATTTGATCGCGATCATTTGTTGGTCGCGGCATTTATTTGTCTATTTGTTTGAATCTATTTTTCTGGCCGTCTAACCGATTATCCCTTTTTCTGACCGTCGGTTTTTCTTAACTTAAAATTTTTCAAAGTCACTTATATAGTTAGAAGTTAAGTTAGTTATGGAAAATAGATTGAGTCTACTTGTCAAAATTAAACGTAAAACATATAAAATTAGCTAGAATTTCATCAAATTATTATAAAATTATAAAGAAAAATGAGGTTCGAATAGTCTGATCTGAAGACGAATATAGCGAAATATCTTTGATATCGTTACCAACCAAACCAACTCGAATATTCCAGTAAATAATACAAGTTCGAATGATATGCTAACCGAAGGAAAAAACAAGCATTGCTAACAATACCAGCAGCATTCATTGCATTAACTGTTTGCCTGGTATTGTAATCAAAGCACAACATGGCGTATAAATTAATTAGTTCGGCAACAATTTTTATATTATTGCCGCCAAATACTCCCCGCAAAGCAAACCAGTTTCTCTATCATCAATTATTTTGGTCTCTATTTTCATTTAAATTTATCGTTGCTGTAGTTTGTGTGTGTGTGTGTGTGTGTGTGTGCTACTATGATTTTAAAAAGCAAATATGAAACAAAAGCGAAAACCATTTGGACACGATTCTTTAAGCAACTAAAACTAAAATTGAAGAAAAAACCAAATGAAGCGATAACTGTTAACTACAATGCACAACATTGCTTCTATATATATATATATATATATATATATATATTTGACTAATGTATGTAAGTGCTATCAATACAACCAACAACGGCAGCTGATTGACCGTCACGTTAAGCATAACGATTTCCACCAAGTGTTGTATGCTTCTTTAAACAAAAGCAATAATAACCACATTAAGCCGCGGCTAAGGAGAACCGCCGCGCGGCTTAGGTCTTTTTAACGCTACATTGTTGTTATGCCTTTTGTTTGTCATTTGAAGACATCGGTGCAAAAGTAAATACATTTTATGTTTAATAAATATCTGGGTCATAATATTCTTACTAACTTCTTGGCGATATTTGTTTTTGTTAATTCAGTTTCGTTGCCTCAATACATCCAACAAGAAGACGTAAGACTTGTTGTCTGAAGTTTAAGGTCATTCGTCTTTTTTTTTATTTATTTATATATTGTATTTATTTCTGTTCTGCAAACTTTGTCAATGCTTCTACTTTTAAAGTTCAAGTTGAAGAATTTGAGATAAATTGCAATAAAATATATTTAAAAAAGATTTTTGCAAAATTTAACTCCGATATTAATTAATTGCTTTGAAACTGCATTGACGTATCGAACTGAAGATAGCTCACTAAGCCCACTAGTCCACATTTCTTGAGGGTTATGTCTTTGCTAAAAACGTCCTTACTATGCAATGTGAAAAATTGTAGAAACCGTGCAATTGTAAAACAAACTAAACCTCATCATAAAGGCAAAATATTACATTATAGCAGCTAAGTGTCATACGCAATCACATTGAAGTTACTGAAAGAGTGCAATCGTTAGCACTTTCTACAATTTTGATATTTTCATTTATAATTAATTTGGTCGAGTACGAACATGAGGAGAGGGTACATATGAGAGGTTTTTGGCCCTTAACATGGCAACGAAATTAAGTTGTTCTTATAGTCTTCAGCATGTTTTAAGACAACTCAGACAAATTGGAATTGTCTCTTTGTGTTTCATTAAGGTTTTTTTTATAACTCAGCTAAAATAAAATGACAGACGAATTTAATTAACTCTTAGAAGTAAATCATATAATAAATATTATTAAAAACGAATTCAAAGTATATAAGGAGAAGTAAGGAAGAAAACATTCATAATAATTCATGTATAAATAAATCAGAAAGAAAAGAAGCAAGTATACAACTAGCACGGAGACACACCCACAACCGAAACGGATCCAAGCTGCAAGTGAACACGTAAGCTGTTTCAGACGTGCAAAAGCTTGGTAAACGATAACAGCAAGCAACACCATTTCATTTTCGAATCGTAATGAGACGTTAAGATTGCGAGCAAGTTTAAATACGGCATAGGCAAATCGTACGTATTAGGGATAGTTGTTTTGATGAAATTGAAAGAGTCCGTGCCTAAAGAAGCGTTTAGGTATATTAAAGTTCATCTCACCAAGTAATGTGAACGAGTTGATAGTACCATTAATTAACTTAGTTAAGAAGGAAACGAATACACCTACGTTTCTCAAGTGACGTTAAAGCTAACAGAAACAATCTATTTTCATAACAAGGCAGAGAGACAAGAGCTGGTCCCAACCCAAATTCCTAAAGGCAAGCAACAAGAATTGCTTTTAAACGGACTCTACTGAACCTACACAAGACCAATAGGAAGGAGACCACGCAACAGAGGCATACTCAAGTAATGCTGCGACTAAGCTCATATATAGCCGTTTTGTAATGTAAGCTCGTTAAGCTCGTTGGATCACCGTTTATTGGAACCTAGCACAGAGCTATCTTTACTTAGAGAGAGCTCAATATGCAAATTAAAATGTATTATTTGTTCGAATAGAACCCGTAAATCGATGAACGGATCTACGTTTTCCAATTTGTGGGAGTCGATGAAGTACTCAATACTGAATGACTTCCTCCCTGAGAAAGAAAGCTGCTTGCATTTTTCTAGATTTAATTTCATAAAATTTCATGAGGATTATTTAACCAAACTATTTAAGTCAATTTGAAGCTGATACGACTTAAAAGAAGACTTAAGGAGAAGGACGAAAACAGTTTAACATCGTCAACGTACATTAAGATCTGGCTCGATTCAATCACAGCGGAGAGATGATTACGTTATAGATTAAATAAAAGGAGCCCTAAGTGGCTATCTTGAGGGACCCCCGACGTCACAGCAAATTCATCCGAGGTGATGAAGTTAAATCGGAAACCCTGAATGATCTGTTATGAAGATGAGAGCATGTCCATTTAACTAAGTATAAAGGTCAGGCAGAGGCTTGGAGTTTGAAGGTCAATAAGTTAGGGTTAACTAAGTCAAACGCTTTACTAAAATCATTGTTATACGATATCCGTGCGAAAGTCACTAGGCAACGCCTTAAAAACATGGGAAATAAACTCTAAGAGATTCGTAACAGTTGATCTTCCTTCCAAAAAGCTATGCTAGAACGGGGAAATGTAAAATTTGATAGCAAAAGCTAATTACTGAGTAACAATTCGTTCAAACAATTTAAGTAAGCTACTTAACTTGGCAATGCCTCTACAATTCTTAATGTGATGTCTGCTTTCATATTTGTGAAGCGGAATAAGAAAATTACTCTTCTAACACGAAAGAAAAACACCTGGTTTCAAGGACTAACGGAAAATCTTTGAAATAACACCACATAAAGTGCCATAAGTGTGCGTATAAAGTTAGCGAAAAATAACATACAAGGTATATTGTTAACCCTAAATATTTCTGTAAGCTTGCCAACTCTGAACGAAAAACCCCCATATATCCCTTACAGGTCTGTAGCTCGTCAGAGCATCATTTGAGTATACATGAGCAAATACCAGCTGGCCCAGGCCCACAACTGTATTTTTCTGAAATGACCAAGTTAGGAATCGAAACCGAGTTAGTCATAAGATACATACAGTTGACAATTAAATCGTAATCAGCATTTGTAAAATGTCGACTCTAATATTCAGAACAGGGACTTGAGGTTTTAATATCATAAGAGAACTCGGAACTATTGAAAGAGACCTGTAAGGGATATATGGAGATTTTTTTTTCAGAGTTGACAAGCTTTCAGAAATATTTAGGTTTAACAATATACCTTGTATGTTATTTTTCGCTAACTTTATACGTACACTTTATGGCGATCTTTTTTTTTTTTTTGCATTTTCGAAAGCAATGCTTAGAAAAGTAACCGAACGCAGTTGAAGCGCTCACAAAAAAATTAAATTAATAAAGACGAGATTTTAGCAGCATCAGTGCAATCAGCATCAGCAACACTTGCCGTCATTGCAAATGAATTAATAAACCCA